TGGTATCATACCGAATAGTTTCACTGCCCTAAAAATCCTCCATGATTCACCTATTCATCTCTCCCTTCCTCTGTCCTAATCCCTGGCAACCACTGAGTTTTTTACTGCCTCCATAGTTTTGCCTTTTCCAGAATGTCATATAGTTGGAATCATACAGTATGTAGCCTTTTCAGATTGGCTTCTTTCTCTTAGTAATATACATGTAAGGTTCCTTCATGTCTTTTCATGGCTTGATAGCTCATTTCTTTTTAGCACGGAATAATATGCTATTGGCTGGATGTACTGTAGTTTAACCATTCACCTACTGGAAGACATCTCGATGGCTTCTAAGTTTTGGCAATTACGAATAAATTGCCATGAAAATATCCATGTGCAGGGTTTTATGTGGACATAAGTTTCCAGCTGTTCTGGTAAATGCCAAGGAGTGCGATTGCTGGATCAGATGGTAAGAGCATGTTTCGTTTTGTAAGAGACTGCCAAACTGTCTTCCAAAGTGTTACATTCCTACCAGCGTGTATAAGAGTACCCGTTGCTCCACATCCTCACCAGCATTTGGTGTTGTCAGTCAGTGTTCTGGATTTTGGCCGTTCAAATAGGTGTGTTGTGGCATCTCACTGTTGTTTTAATTTGCATTTCCCTGATGACATATGATGTGGAGCATATTTTCATGTGCTTGTTTGCCATCTGTATATCTTCTTTGGTGAGGTATATTTTGGATAACAGTCCTTTATCAGATGTTCTCCCTGTCTGTGGCATGTCTTCTCATTCTCTTAGCAGTATCTTTCACAGACCAGAAATTGTTAATTTTAGTGAAGTCCAGCTTATCAATTCTTTCTTGCATGGATTGTGCCTTTGGTGTTATGTCTAAAAAGCCATTGCCAAACTCAAGGTAATCTAGATTTTCTTCTGTGTTATTTTCTAGGAGTTTAGTAGTTTTGCATTTTACATTTAGGTCTATGATCCATTTTGAGTTAATTTGTGTGAAGGGTGTAAAGTCTGTGTCTAGATTCATTTTTTTGCATGTGGATTCACAGTTGCTCCAGCACCATTTGTGAAAAGGCTATCTTTGCTCCATTGCCTTTGCTCCTTTGTCAAAGATCCTTTATGTGGGTCTATTTCTGGGCTCTCTATTCTGTTCCATTGATCTACTTGTCTCCTCTTTCACCAATACCACACTGTCTTGATTATTATAGCTTTATAGTAGGTCTTGAAGTCGGGTAGTGTCAGTCTTCCAATTTTGTTCTACTCCTTCAATAGCGTGTTGGCTATTCTGGGTCTTTGGGTCCTCGATTTTTGAGAGTCTAAAGGGAGGTCCTGAGACCAAAAAGTTTAGAACTGCTATTGAAGGGAAAGATGGACACACAAATGAGTGCATTAAATCCTTGTCCTGGGAAAGAGAATAGCAGAGGAGCAGAGAGTAATCTGAATTGAGTTTTGTGCATCCTACTGTTCTCGGGGCTGAACCAGCCTGTTGCTTTGGGGTACATTCCTGATTCCAAAGTCAGATGCCATGTGATGCAGACATGAGCCTGGTCTCAGAAGAGAATCCTAGAGAGGCATAGGATGTGGATTGTCAGCCTCCTTGAGACTGGAAAACACAGGGCAGATAAGGGCGGTTTGGAATTGGTCTTCTACTTCTCTAAGAAAAAGGTGTCTTGCTTCTTAGGGTTGTGCATGTAACTCAAGTGCCGTGCCTTTTTGTCTTCATAACAAAAGCTTGTCAGCTCGCAAGAGTAAACCAAGTTAAAAGGGGAACACTCACCTCTGTACTGCTCACCTACCACCCTTGAAGTTCTGCAGGAAACACATGCAGAGAAGGAAAGGTGGGGCTTTGGTCTCAAACCCCAAGACCAAAAAAGAGTCCCCTGGTCTTCTGGTTGCCTCCAGAGAGAAAGATTTATTTGCTGAAAGAGGCCATTTCCTTTCTCTGTCCCCTTCACGCAGGCTACACCCCAGACTCAGACACTCCGGCAGGGAGAGAGCTGGCCGCTGACTTGAAGAAAGCTGAGGGTTGAATGGGGCCGCCTACAGGGTCAGGCTGCACAGCTGCTCCCAGGCCCACTTGACCTCATCAGCTGCAGGAGAATCCTGAGGGAATTCCAAGAGCAAGTCAAGCAATCCAGCCCGAGGCCAAGCCTTCCTGCACCCGGCCAAGTGGAAGCACATCACCCCCAGGGACCACCCCAGATGGCCTCCCATCCATGAGCCTTTTGCCAGACACATCCCCAGGCGCCACTCCTGGCATTGTGCCAAAAGGAACAGAACTCCTGCTGGGGAGGCAGGCCTGTTGTGAACCCAGGAACCCCCGGTGGGTTCAGAGGGTCCCTAAAGGTCCAGACATGTATGCTATTTTACAGGGAGAAGGTCTGGAGTTTTCCTCAGATTTTCAAAGGCAGGGGGGAGAGGTCCTCGCTCCAAAAAGGTTTAGAATCCCTATGTGAGAAGCCAACATTACTTACAGCTGCTCTATTTGAGCGTTTTTCAAAAAGTCCATTTAATAATGTCAGCTACACAAACAGCTCAGTTGGTCTCCATGCCTGGCTCAGTGCTGAGGGCTGGAGATGCAACAGTGAGCAAGACCAGATACGAGCTGTGTGTCATGAAGGGACACAGATATAAATCAAATAATTACAGAAAAACATGTCCGATTTCAAACCAAGTATTGCTCTAAAGGAAAGGAACCTGGTTCTATGATGGATATAACGATGGACGTTTAGTTTTTGTTTTTCTGTATTTATTTTTGAATAGGTAATGCATTCATGTTCAAAAATTCAAAAGGATTATACAGTGAAACTCCCTACCCGCCCCCTCTCCCCCACCATCCCCAGCCACTCCCTGGAGCCTATGCATGTTCTCCAGGCTGGGGAGTGGGCCTCCTGCTGTTAGACCTGGGAGAGATGGGCAAGCTTATCTGAGGGCTTGAAGCTTGAAATGAAATGGGAAGCATTGACTGAGGGTTAACTAAGTGAAGGGGACTGGAAGGGGGTAAGGGAAGCACTCTAGACAGGCAACAGCTTATGCAAAGGCCCTGTAGCAGGAGACAGCATGATGTATTAGAAGACCTAAAAGAAAGCCTGTGTGGCTGGAATGCAGAAAGCAAGGGGGAAGGGGAGAGGTCCAGGATGCTGCTGGGTGGGGAGGATGCTGTTTTGTAGTCTGCTCAGCCTTATGGACTTTTCCCTACAAGCCCTGGGAAACCACTGAATGATGAGGGGAGGTAACCGTCAATTATACTTACATTTAAATATCACCCTGGTATTGTGTAGAGAATGGATTGGAGGGAAAAGCATTTAATGGTCTCTTATTTAATTCAGGTAAGAAATGATGTGTGTGATTGGAGGTGCTTTATATACAGCAAGGTCCTCAAATAACTTTCATTCATGGTCATTTTGTTATAATGTTGATGAGATGCTATAGGAACTTAGTTCTTGTTTTTATCAATCAGCCTATGGTAAAATTGGTTTTGTCATACATCATTTCGCTGCAGTTTCAAGAACACTTAACAGTATTAAGTGAGGACTTACTGTATACTGCAAAAAATGTATTGGTGTGCAAGGTTCTTGCTTCTGAAAAACGTTAACAAAACATTTGTTTCAATTCCCTTAACTGAACGGAAGGAAAGCCATTAACAAGAGTTTGCTTAGAATGTAGTTTAACACCTGGCTATATTGTGTCCAAGCATGTGGCCAAACTGACAGGATAATTTAACATCCTGGAACAAAGTTGATGGACAAATGGCTGAGGTCTCCTAGAATCTTGCTGGAAGTCATCTGATCCAGCCTCCCTCCGCCTGAACACCCCAGAAGTCTCCTCGCTGCAGAAGCCGTCCAGTGGCCCGAGAATGTTACTGTTGTTATAGGGTCCTATCAGAGTGACCACGTGGTTGATGTCTGATAATTCACAAACCCAATGGCTGTAGCTGTTTTGGTACGTGTACTTAATTTTCCTTCTGTTCTCTTCACTTCCCCCAGAATGGCATATTCTGAGGAGCAAGGAGGCATTCCCTGTGGTTTCATCCGCCAGAATTCCGGCAACTCCGTTTCCTTGGACTTCGAGCCCAACACAGAGTACCGGTTTGTGGAGCAATTGGAAGAGCGCTACAAATGTGCCTCCTGCCACTCAGTGCTTCACAACCCCCACCAGACAGGCTGTGGCCACCGCTTCTGCCAGCACTGTATCCTGTCCCTGAGGTGAGTGGGCCGGGCCTGCAGCTCCAGCCACAGCAGACCAGCAGCAGCTGGGGGTGTCCTGGGATCTAAATGTCACCTGTGGCTACTCAACTGTAATTGCGGTTTTGGAAGTGCTGTGGTTGGCCACAGAACCACGAATATGAAGAGGGGCTCTCCTAGGGCCCTTCTGTGACAGCCTAAGGAGTAATCTTCATTTTTTTGCCACTCACACGCTGATGTTCACCTTCTCTTAAAATTCAGAACACACCTGTTTTGCATGCGAGGGCAAACCTAGAAGCATAATCCATGTTGGGAAGGACCCATATGTCCCAGGGGGTCTTTGCTTTAGTCGCCCTGATCTTGCCTTGCCTTAAGGCAGAGGTGGTGTCACATTGAGAAGGGACTTCGCTGCCATGGATGCTGTCCCCTCCCGGGCAGCTACAAAACCTGGGTCATGCTATGCTGAGGAAGGAAAGCCAGCGTTTGGGGCTTATATAGGGGCAGTAAGGAAGTTGTACCCTGCCACACTTGGAAAGGGGATTTTGATGACACATTCTCATTCTTTCATGGGTTCGTCCATGCAGCACCTGTGTGTTCCTTCTAAACTAAGCTCTAGTGTCCAGAAGGGAAGAGCTAGAGGTCCGGTGTGGAACAGGACCCAGTCTCTGTGTTTCTAGAATATTCCAGTCCGGTGAGGGAGACAGGTTGGGGTACAGTGTGATAAGCAAAAGACTGCCGTGGGAGCACTGGCAGAGGCCATCTCTGTCTGGGGGACTCACTGTTTGACTTGCATCCTTGGGGATGAATGGGGATTTTTCAGGCAACCGGAGAGGTGCTGAAATTGGGAAGCAGGGGTGGGGCCCTCCTGGGAGGAGGGAACAGTATGAACAAAGACAGGGCCTGGCCTGCTCAGGGGGAACTTCAGTGGGCCGAGCATGGCTGAAGTGCTGCGGCTGCTCTTGGAAGAGCTGTTGAGGTCAAGTCTTAATTCTGGCTCTGTTTTCGTTTTTCCCTCCAGAGAATTAAATGCAGTGCCACTCTGTCCTGTAGATAAGGAGGTTATCAGATCTCAGGAGGTAAGAAAATCACTGTTTTGGCTTAGCAGCTCTCTAGGGGATGGAGAATCTAGTGTCCCGATTGGACATTGAGGTGGGAGCAAAGAGTGGGAGGGAGAGGAGCCTTCCGTAGGATCTGTATTCCTCTGCGGAGGGGTCAAGTCAGACCCCACACCTACCACTGTTTGAGAGTCTTGTTCGGGTCTCTACTGACACTTATCCCCATCCCCCCTAAGTTTCTTCCGCTTCCTCCTTACCCTCTTCTTATACTAGCTCCAGTTACATTGAGTGGCTTGGAGAAATGAAACATCCTGTTTCCTGGAATTCACTTTTTCATCTGATTAATCTCTAAAACTTCCTTTTATTATTATTGTGTCTAATAATAGCCTTATTGAGAGATAATTCATATGCCATAGAGTTTACCTTGAAAGTCTACATGTTTCTTGAGTACACACCTAGGAGTGGAATTCCTGGGTCATATGGTAACTCTATGTTTAACATTCTGAGGACTTGCCAGACTGTTTTGCAAAGTGGCTGCACCGTTTTTACATTCCTACCAGCAGTGTATGAGAGTTCTAATTTCTCCAGATGCTTGCCAAAATTTGTTATGGATCTTTTCGATTATAGCCTTCCCAGTGGGTATTAAGAGGTAACATGTGGTTTTGATTCGCATTTCTCTAATGATTAGTGGTACTGAGCGTCTTTTCATGTGCTTGGCCATTTGTAATATCTTCTTTGTAAAAATGCCAATTGAAGTCGCTTGCCTATTTTTAAGTGGATTATTTGTCTTTTATTGTTGAGTTCTAAGAGTTCTTTACGTATTCTGGATACCAGTCACTTATCAGATATGTGATTCACAAATATTTCTCCCATTCTGTAGGTTGTCTTTTCACTTTCTTGATGGTGTCCTTTGAAGCACAAACATTTTTCATTTTGATGAAGACTTATTTGTCTTTTATTTGTTTGGTTGCTTGTTCTAAGAAACCCTTACCTAATCCACGGTCATGAAGATTTTTCTCCCTTAAAACTTCCTTTTCTGGCCAGCTGAGTGGCTCAGTTGGTTAAGAGCTCGCTCAAGAGTTTGAGCTCTGAGCAACAGCGGTTCGATGCCCGGCCCGAGCTGAGCTGCCGCTGAGCTGCCAACAGGTGGCAGGATGGCTCAGCTAAAAACAAAAACAAAAACAAAACAAAACAAAAACCAAAAACTTCCTTTTAAGCTAGTTTTCTTCCTTTAAAATTTCCATAAAGGACATTCAAGCATCACCTCCTCCAGGAAGCTCCCTGAGCACCAGATGCTCCTTTTCGCTGCTCCTATGATGCGTATTGTCAATGCCTAGCAGAGGACAGTGCTGTCCTTGTGTCTGCCTCACCCTAGGCCAGGGATTAGCATACTACAGGATGGGATTTGTTGGGACGAATCCAGCCTGCCACCTGTTTTTGTATGACCTGTGAGCTAAGAATGGTTTTTATATTTTTAAATCATTGAAAAAAAATCAAAAGAAGGGTGCACAGGAACTCTGTACTATTTTTGCGGCTTGCTGTGAGCCTTAAACTATTTCAAAAATTTGAAAAATCAAAATAAGAATAATGTTTCGTGACATGTGACCATGATATGACATTCACATTTCAGTTCCACAAATAATGTTTTACTGGAACACAGCCATGCCCATTCATTCAAGTATTGTGTACGGCAGAGCTGAATCATTGCAGCAGAGACCATTGCAATGTGACCTGCAAAGACAAAACTATTTACTATCTGACCCTTGATGAAGAAGGTTTGCCAACTCCTAGCATGTGCTGAAATAGCAAGCCAGCACGGCTTCAGTGACACTACCTGATGACTAATACAAACCTTTCTGCTGGG